GACTGAGCCACCCAGGCGCCCCAGGATTTTAAAAAGACTGACAGAATGATGACTGCTACTTGAAGTATTTACGGCTTATATAAGGGCAGATATGTAGAGCTTAGTGTTGAAATGGAAAAAACAGGCCACCTTGCCTTCACAGAAAAATGACTCCGAGATAGAAAAACCTAACATGTGAATTATAACATCACTATTCAACTCATTTTCTTTCCAAGCTATTTGGATTAGGTTTCAAAACTTAGTAGGCCAGAAGAGACTTAGAATCATGTTTATCACCTCAAGAGACTCCATGTAGGCCTAGGAGGGCTCCAAAGGAAAAAAAAATGTTAGAAATTATGACAATTTCTTTTCAGTTTGCGGGTAAGGTTTCCCTGTTGAATAATTAGGGTTGGGCATGGTCGGGGTGGGTAAGGATACTGATTCCCAGGAGTTCACATGCTATTAATTTCTCTTGAGCACCTCCGTGCCTTTTTTGCCCCTTTCCTTATGATTGCCCTAAGGCAGGGGTTAAGATGGGAGGCATGGCTTTGGCTCTTCTATCTCCAGGCTAAAATCAGAAATGCCCAGGGGAGCACGATGGCAACATCACCAATGAACAAAGCAGAGGGTGATGGGGACCATGGAGGGTCCCTGCTTCTCCCCTCCAGCTGGTCAATGCTGAGAGGCAAGAGAGCCAAGTGGGGCCCAAACTAATGATTTTTCAAAAGGGCCTGGGTATTTTTTAGTGAGATTGCTTGATTTTTAAATGATAGCTTATTTTAAAAAACGTTCTGGGGTCACCAAAATGCTTTTCGCTGGCTTGCATTCCATTGGCAGGGCTCCTGCTTGATGGCTGCCAAGGCTACAGGGCTGTTGGTGGGCCAGTTTGATGGTGTTATCCAGGAGTGATTTCCTGATGTTCAGCCCAGAGCCTTTTCATGGACTTTGTAAGCACCTAATTCCTCATATCAAATCCCTTTCTGCTTAAGACAGGGTGGTTTCTTGTTCTTATAACCGAACCCGGACTGGCAGCTAAATATAACATACCAGATTACCACTTGGAGGGGAAACCTGGGTGGCTCAGTCAGTTAAGCGTCTGCATTTGGCTCAGGTCATGATCCCAGGGTCCTGGGATCGAGTCCTGCATTGGGCTCCCTGCTCAGCGAGGAGTCTCCTTCTCCCTCTGCCCCTCTCCCCCACTCGTGCGCACGCACTCTCTCTTCCTCTCTTGCACTTGCGTGCATGCGCGCAAAAATAAATAAGTAAAATCTTCAAATTACAACTTGGAGATACAATGCCAAAAATTTATCTCAAAGAAGTCACTTCAAAAAAAGAAAAGAAAAAAATACAACTGATAACACTAATAATATTTTTTCCATCCAAATGTATACGGAACCATATCATCATAAATCAAAGTAACAAGAATTATACCACAGCCTGGGAGCGTGCAGAGGTAGCTTCCACAATGGCCAGGAAGGAGGCAGTTCTGGATGGTGGGGGAACCTTATGAATACCCAAGAATTGAATACTTCTGGCCAAGAGTCTAGATATTGACCCACAACCGCTGCCATTAAAAAAACCAAACCAAGCCAAAAACCCTTTTATTCTTGTGTTGAAAATTCTAGTAAATAATTTAGTAGCAAGCATATCCAATTACATGCCCCTGATAATGAGAACAGTAGCAAATAGTAAGAAATCACCCTGGCCTCACATAGAATTGTTTTTGACCTTGCAAGGAGCTTCCTATGACTTTCCAGCCATTTTTTTGAGCTGCTATTTATATTTGAGAGCAAAACAATGGTGTTTAGCTCTACCCCAGAAATAGGAAAGCTGTTGCTAGACTAATTTATGTAATAAATTTGAACATTCAAGGTACACATTAGCGTAAGGTATAGGTCACTTTCAAGTCTTCTAACCCAAGGAAGCTAGCCAAATTTCTTTTATAGTTCCGATGAGTTGAATAATTTATAAAGGAGCCTTATTTGTTAGCCCTTCCAGCAGAGCTATCTAAACGGAAGCCACACTAAGATTGATGGCTCACCTTGTTATCTGTTTCACTTCTCCACACCAAGGCTGGCTGCCTCACCTGCTTACCCACCCCCCAAGCTGTATGTAGCGGAGAGGGAAGAGAATGGCAACAGAAAACAATTTCTACAGAAGCTCCAGTGACCAAACCTTAACTCGCCCAAAGACCAAGCTAGAATCTACAAGCATGCGTATGTTACAAATGAGTCTACCATACTGAGTCCTCCTTCTGGAAGTGAGCCACGCTGCATCCCTGGGTGTGGAAAACGATGTACAGTGTAAGAAGCAGTTTACCTGCACAAATATGACCTTGATTCTCAAGAACTAGATTTTTAACAAGAGCTAGTTTCCATTTAACAGATAATTATTAAGAACATACATAATAGTCCCTGCCCAGTGATTGGAGCTAGTTACAAAATTGCATATATGAAAAGAGAGAAAATCAAACAGCTAAGCCCACAGACAACACTGTGATCTCTTTGCAAATATATCATCTTCTATTATTAGAATCAATGTCTGACAATGTTTTGTTCAAAAAGCAAACGTATCTAATAACTAATCCCCTCTCTATTTAAGAAATTACAGTAGCCCGCCCAACACTCAAACGTTCAATCATTACATGTTTGAGTTCCCCATCTCTGCTGTAAGAAATTATCATAAACTTCGTGGCTGAAAATGACACAACTTATTATCTTGCCGCTCTGGTGGTCAGAAGTCCTGAAATTCAAGGTGTGGAAGAGCTGTCTTCCTCTGTGAAGGCTCCAAGGGAGCATCTGTTTTCTTGCCTTTTCGGGCTTCTAGAGGCTGCCTGCATTTCCAGGCTCAAGGCCCCGTCCTCCACCTTCAAAGCCAGCCATGTGGCACCTTCCAATGTCTCTCTCTGCCCTCCACTTCTGGAATCATGTCTCTTTCTCTGACTCTAATCTTCCTGTCTTCCTCTGACAAAGACCCTGTGCATAATCAGACTTCACTGCTTGAGGACAGACTGGCATACAGTTAAGGATTTTTAGGAAGGAAACATTTAATGTAAACACTCTTAGCTTCCTCATGGGTTTTGAATTTTGTGCGACCCAGTGATCTACGAAGAAACATAAGCACGCAGTTGTCTACCACTGGAGTGTTAATGAAACAATATATATATATATATATATATATATATATGTATTTTATATATTGGGACAACCTGAATAATTCAAGACACTCTTTCCATCTCAGAATCTTTAATCATGTTCGCGAAGTCCCTTTTGCTATATAAGGTGACACATTTATAGGTTCTAGGGTTTAGGACAGGGACAACTTTGGGGGGGCCATCATTCTGCCTATCATAGTCCCTCAGGTCACTCAAACAAAAAGAGAATATGCAAATATCTTTGCGGCTACTGGCAATATTAACCAGGAGTACCTGCTTTAAAAAGCCATTCATAAGAAATTATTAAAAGAAAAATGATGAAAGATTGGTCTTCTTCCCTAGGACCAAGTACATAATTTCAATAGGACATAATGATTAACCGTGGAGAAAAATAAGGAAGGTTTTCCCCCAGATGTGCTTCTTGCCCTAGTAAAAAATCAAGCAAGTTCTCTCTTTCTCTTACTTACAGGGCAGGTGACAGTCACATCCTGGGTGCCAGGGACAGCATGTTCTCAATTCAGAGATACCTGTCCACCTGTGATGCAGATGTGGTAATAGCCGGATTGGTAATATGATCGCGCTAAGTCTCACCTGTTTGAATACAGCGCAGTCCTGTCGTGTGGACAATGTTCATCGACATATAAGGAAGACGATGAAATAGTGGTTGCCAAGGAAGCAGCTTCAAACAGTGACGGGGTGCTAGGCACCAGGTCTGGCCTGTGTCGGGATCCCAGTGCTGCATAACAAAAGCACAACACATGAATCTCCGTAAGAAATGCTGCCTTATTATCTATAATAATTTAAATCGACTCCAAAGCATACATATCAGATTGCAAATTAAATTATGAATTCACTTCGCTCTTCCGAACTGCTGCAGACATGTAAAATAGCTTCTTGCAAACAGGTTAACCGGAAAGGAAATGGCATTAATTTACAAAATGGCTTATGGAAAAGACATTATGAATGTTCTTTTAAAAACCTAATAAAGTGATTTACTGTTTCAAAAGATGACATAAAAAGCTCGGAGGAGTTTAGGAGATAATTCGACAGAGATTAACAGGATGACTGGCAAATGTAGAAACACACAGGGCACCTGCTTCCCCTCCCTAGGATATGCACGTATCTATCATTCTCAATTTAGATCTAAGTACTCAGACTTTTTAACAGCCAGGAGACAAAGGCTTCCCAGACTAACAGCCAGCTATCTCTCTCTCTTTTTAAAGATTTTATTTATGTGAGAGAGAGAGTGAGCATGAGCAGGGGGAAGGGCAGAGGCAGAGGGAGAAGCAGACTCCCCGCTGAGCAGGGAGCCTGATGTGGGGCTTGATCTAAGGACCCTGGGATCGCGACCTGAGCGGAAGGCAGACGCTTAACTGACCGAGCCATCCCACCCAAGCCAGCTATCTCTTAAACTCCTTTGTGCCCATACACATCTTTGAACATCATCTACAGCTCTTCTTGGCCTCATATTTTAAGAGCCAAGGCTGCCTTTTTAAAAATGAGAAAACTCCTACTTCCTTTTTAAAATATAGGTGCCTGGGGCACCTATTGCCCAGCCTGTCAGAGATAGTGTTTTAATGACAGATCCAGTCAGCAAGAACAGAGCTGCTTAAAAAATACACATGCAAGTCCCCAGTGATAGAACACTGTGGACATAATAGTTATGCAGGAGTCCTGTCCTTCAACTTTTCACACTGAGTTTTATTAAACCTAGGGAGATATTTTTAAATTTTTATGAAGATATAATTGACATAGAACATTGTATTAATTCTAGGTGTCCAATGTGATAATTTGATATACATATTTATTGTGAGATGATCATCACAATCTAGTGAACATCCATTACCACATATAATTACATCTTTTTTCTTGCAATGAGAATTTTTATGATCTACTCTCTTAGCAACTTTCAAACATACAAGACACTTGTTAACTGAAGTCACCATTCTGGACTGTGGATTCAGGCAACAATGGGCTCAAAATTATGCATTTTTAGGAAGCGTATGAATGGAAAACGGTCCTAATAGGCACTATCGCATGAGTGCGAGATTTTGGATTTGGGGTTTGAAGAGGTGTAGATGGAGGGGTGGAGCGAGGCACGGAGGGAAAAGGGGTAGGCACAGAAGGGCTGGACTCTGGGCTGGGAGACTGGACACACTTTAAATATGTGAGACAGTGCAGCTCTGATTCAGGTCAAAATAAAGAACGGCCATGATGAATAACAGATGGTAATAGTATAAAAACACAAGTAACCAAAGGGCTCTACATGCAAAAATTAGAAAGGCTTCAATGTAATACGACAGCTGGCTAGCAATCTTTAATATACTTGGTCCCACCTTCTTACTAAGTACAGAGAAAAATATTGACATACTCAATAATATTGAAAAGTGCATCTGAAAAATAACCTCCCATCAGAGCTTAATGAATTGCTACTCAACATAAGGCAGATGGGGCTGGACAGAAAGGCTCATGCAGTCTCTGGTCTTGACTTCATGAGCCAGAGACTACGTGAGTGATACAATACAGAGAGACATGATCTGTCCAGGGACTTGGACCAGGCAGTGGGGAGCTGAGCCCCAATCTTTTTTTTTTTTTTTTAAAGATTTTATTTATTTATTTGAGACAGAGAGAATGAGAGAGAGAGAGCACATGAGAGGGGGGAGGGTCAGAGGGAGAAGCAGGCTCCCCGCCGAGCAGGGAGCCCGATGCGGAACTCGATCCCGGGACTCCAGGATCATGACCTGAGCCGAAGGCAGTCGCTTAACCAACTGAGCCACCCAGGCGCCCCATCTGAGCCCCAATCTTTAAGGAGCAGCTCTCTGAAGCAGAGAGCTGTTTCCTCAAGCTCTCATATCCTTCAGTTTTTAAAAAACTAGCATGGTAGACAGAATTCTAGGATGATCCCCAGTGACCTGAACGCTTGTATCATCATCTCCCTTTGAGCGTGGGTGGGACCAGTAAGCATGAGAGGACTCCTGTGATTACCACAACTTACACGGCAAAAGGAATTCTGCAGATGTAATTAAGGTTACTAATCCATTAACTTCGAGTTAGTCAAAGAGAATACTATCCAGGTGGGCCTGGCCTAATCACTTGAGCCTTTTAAATCTGTGTCTGGAGGTCAGAGATATGAAGTGAGAGAAGGACTGACTTGGAAGGAAGTCTTGGTTTGAAGATGGAGGGGGCTGCCTGGTAAGGAATGTGGATGGTCTTGGGTGGCTGGACATGGCCCATGGCTATCAGACAGGAAGGCATGGGGACCTCCGCCCTACAACTGTAAGGAAGTGAATTCTGCCAAGCACGTGATGACCCTGGAGGAGGATTCTTCTCCAGCACCTTCAGATGAGAACGCAGCCCAGCTGACACCTTCATTCCAGTTTTTGAGACCCTGATAAGCTGTGTCCAGCGAGCCAAGGTGAGCCTGGCCAGATTTCTGACTTACACATGGTGGGCTAATAAATGGAGGTTCTACTAAGCTGCTGACGTTCTGGGTAATTTGCTACATGGCAAGAGAAAATGAATACACCCCGGAACACTGACAGTGGCACAGAAGAGAGGATTAAAAACTCAATGGGAGGGCGCCTGGGTGGCTCAGTTGGTTAAGCGACTGCCTTCGGCTCAGGTCATGATCCTGGAGTCCCGGGATCAAGTCCCGCATCGGGCTCCCTGCTCGGCGGGGAGTCTGCTTCTCCCTCTGACCCTCCTCCCTCTCATGCTCTCTGTCTCTCATTCTCTCTCTCTCAAATAAATAAATAAAATCTTTAAAAAAAAAAAGAATTGTCCAGTTAAACTCTTTTTTATAATAGAATGTTAACATTTTCAAAGAATATGCTCAGTACGTTTTTCTTTGACTTTCAGAGGCCTTTTTGGGTGAAGTCCCTTTAAAAATGAAGCAAGGGGCGCAAGAAGTCATCTGCAAAAAAAAAAAAAGCACAATATGTGCAGGACTTCCCAGGTCTCCAGACTTCCAGGATGTTATGTAGTGTATATATTATGCCCCCCTCTCTCCCCCCAGATTAACAATTGGACTCACTGCTCTAACTTCAGACGTCATATGGAGCATACTAGTTGAAAGTTTAACTGATACAGTTTAAAAATCAGTTAATCCTATTTCCCAGACTGCAGACACCTTGCGGTTTTATGTGTGTCCTAAGAAGACCAGGCCGTGTGGTAGGGGAGATGCCAGGGCAGGGAGGCTTAGGTAAAGGGTTGTCACTGACTGCTAGAAAGTGCAGCCGGAGAGAGGAGCAAGGGCGATTCATGAACTCCTTTGCCAAAAGCACTAAATCTGGGTATCAGCTGTTTTCGAGGAAGATCAGAAAGGAGGAAACCCCACGTGACACACGTGGGTAGGTGCTGCAGATGGGCATAGGAATAACACCCTATTCTAACCACTCTCGGGGAAAGGAAAGCCCGAGAAGAATCTAATCAAAGGAGAAGAAATTCTCAGGAAATGTTGGGATTCCCCAAAGAATATACTGATAAAAAATAAAAAGTCTAAACTGTCACTTCCTCTTTTAGGATTAGAAGAGAAAAACCTTCATGATCAACTCAACAAACAAGGAAAAGTATGTGATAAAATTCAACACTCATTCCTGATAAAAACTTTTAGCAAACCAGGAATAAAAAGGTACTTCCTTGACCCGATTACGGGTATCAAATACAGCTAACTTCTCAACAGTGAAACACAAGAGGCATTCCCTTTAAAATCAGGACAAGGCAAGGCTGCCCGCAATCACCACTTGCATTCATCATTGTTCTAGAAGTCCTAGCTGGCAGGTGAGTAAGGAAGGAAGGAAAAAGAAGGGAGGGCTACGAGAAACAGTAGAAGAAAACCTAAATCTTAAAAAGACACTATTTGAAAAGACCGAAAATACATGTCTATGTCTCTATCTCTATATGCATTTGAGAATAAATCTAACAAAAGGGAGGTGTATAGGACAAGCAGGAGGAAAGTTACAAAATTTTTATTAAATTCATTAAAGACCTAAGTAAATAGATAATTCATTGTTACATTGTGTCTATATGGATGTATAGGGATGTGTGTATACATATGTATATAACGCATATGTGTGTTTGAAACATACACACACACACACACACACACACACACACTGTATGCATACACAGAACAAGGTCCAATTGTAAAAACACAAAAATGTTCAGATGTGTTACTTCCCAGTAGTGGGGTTATGGATCTTTATTTCTAAATATCTTAGTACATATTCCAACTTTTTTTTTCCCTATCAACCACATATTATTTATGTGTTTTAAAAATTTGTAGTAACTCTCATACTGTGAATATCCTTTTGAAAATGAGTTAATAGACTTGGTTTCTTTCTTTTTCTATTTTTTTCTTTTAAGTAAGTTCTATGCCCAATGTGGGGCTTGAACTCACCATCCTGAGATCAAGAGTGGCACGTTCTACTGACAGCCAGCCAGGCACCCCCCATCACCTTTTTTCTTAGGTATATTCTAATTGTTCTACTGTGAATCTACATCACCTATATAAGCAAAATCAGAAGGACTTCTTTTTCTTTTCTTTTTTTTTTTCTTAAGTGACATGTCTTTACCTTCTTCGTCAAGGCTGCTGAAACTCTGCCCCTCGGTCAGCAAGTCCCGCTTCTCGTCCTTCCACTCCTGGCTAATTGAGGACACGATCTCTTGCGAGGTGGCCTTCAGGGCGGCGATGGAGTTGCAACGTTTTTTAGAAGGTGAGGCCTTCAAGGCTGGACAGGAAGGAAAAAGGAGAGACAAAGATACGGTAAAACCACATTAACTTTTTGTTTTTCATTAAATTAAGATTTTACTTATTAACGTATTACTCATTATCTGAGCAGAATGCAAGACACTTTGTTTTATATACACGAGGAAAGGGAGATGAAACTGTTTGGGTTTTGGCAATTGTATTTGTCTACAATGACTTGACCTCAATGAGAAGATCCTAGAATACATGCGAACTGGAATACGTCTCTAGATTTTGAAGTCAAGTCTTACCTGAGGTGAGATTCAAACGTTCTGTTGCTAAAGGATACTTTTTCTGCCTCCAAGCAATGTTTTTCTAGCGCTGGGAGGAGGTTGGGTGGGTTGGTAAATGCAGATGGTAGAGCGAGGAGAATTCTCATGACCGTGGTTTTATTAACTTGGGGACTGGGAATTTCTAAACATGCCAATGTTTAATCTTATACTCATGAAGCCTAATTTAGCCAAGTTACTTCTGGTTGCTTTTTGCTTTTAAGTGACTTTCCACTGAAATTTCCTGCCCTCTGGGTCTTTTCTAGGTCACGGCTACGTCAGATGTTATCATTCACTCCCGACCTTTGTTCAAACAGCATTCTCCAACTTCAGGAGTGTGCTGGGAACCTGAACCAAGGCAAATGGACTTCACCATCCGTCCTGCTCGCTGAAGGCTGTCCCTTCACCTCTGATACGTCAGTGAGAGCGGCTTTGGCTGCAGCCACACCATCCCCACTTCTATGCAGTCTTTGTGGCAATAATTCTTCTTGGCTTAACACCGTTAGAGAATTTCCTTGGAGGAGAGGGAGCAAGGGAACTTGAGGCTTGTTTATGCTTTCCCTGAATTGGTTTTTGGCAGAGCCTCCCCTCCGCCTTTGGAGCTTTGCACAGAGGGGTAACCTGATAGCCGATGCATTAGAGTGATTGTGTCTGGCCTTGGGAAGCTCTCCAGAGCTTAGATTACGATGCTCATCTGGGGCCTGCCCATAGGCAGCCTGCAAGAACTTAACTGGACAAGGACTTTGGGACACACAAATGGGGAAAGAATAGTGAGCATTCTCTCCACTTAAAGAGAAGGGGAAGTTTATGGGTCCTGTGAGCAGTCCTAGAACCATAATATAATCATCATCATAAATATCTCCTGGAGAGGACTTTAGGGCGTGAAGGCCGACATTCACACACCATATCTCAAACTACCCACACAGTTGTCCGAGGGAGGCGGGCCCTTTTATAGGTCCAGCAACTGAGACTGGAAAAGTTGCGACCTGCTCAAGGTCACAGAGCTAGAAAGCATGAAACCCCAGGTGTCTGTCTTCTGTCTGAAGTTGTCTAAACTGGTGTTCATTTCCTCTCTCTAGAGGATTCTATTTCCTGGCTGATGTGAAGGGGAGAAAAGATAAAACCAGAGTTAGGGTTGTTTTTTTTTTTTTTTTTTTGAGGGGAGGGCATTTTGAATGTTTAAAAACTGATCAAAATGGATTTTAATGGAAAGTAAGTGGACCAAATAAGTCACATTTTCCTTAACACCTCATCCTATCAAAACAGCAGCAACACCTGCTTTCCAGGCGTGAAGGGATAGCACACACGGGCTTCTGCTTTTACGTTCTGTCTGCTAACTCTTATAAACCCTCAACTCTTGTCTTCCAACAGTATTTTAAAACTTTTAATCAGAGGGTCTCAAATGTGGTTCAGGGACTACTAGAGGCCCCCGAGACCCTTTTATTTATTTATTTATTTATTTATTTATAAAGATTTTATTTATTTGACAGAGAGAGAGACAGCGAGAGAGGGAACACAGCAGGGGGAGCGGGAGAGGGAGAAGCAGGCTTCCTGCCGAGCAGGGAGCCCAACGTGGGACTCGATCTCAGGACCCCTGGGATCATGAAGGCAGACGCTTAACCGACTGAGCCACCCAGGTGCCCCAAGACCCTTTTAGAAGGTCTGTAATCCTAAGCCTATTTTCAAGGATGCCTGGCTGGCTCCGACCTGTACAGCGTGTGACTCTCGATCTTGGTGTTGTGAGTTCAAGCCCCAAGTTGGGGATAGAGTTTACTTAAAAAAACAAATAAATAAAATAACTGTAAAAAAACTATTTTCATAATAATATTAAGACATAAATTGCCTTTCTCACGAGTTTTTTACATGCCACATGACCCTCTCGCCACAGACTGAATTCAGAAGCAGATGTGAGAATCTAGATGTCGTCTACAAACCAGAATCAGGGATTGGAAAAAATGAAAAATGATGCCACTTTTCTTAACGAACTTATTTTAGAAAATATTATTTTCGTAATTATTTTTTTATGTGAAAATGATTTTTACCTTTTTGTTGAAAATGGCTTATTTTAACATGCAATTTTTTTTAGGAATTATTACTTTGTGAGAATTAATGAATATTTGACATTTTCCTCAATTTTAAATTCAATATGGTAAATATTGCCAGATATAGCCCATGTGTGTGAAAGCCTTTTGAGGTCCTCAATCATTGGAAAGAGTATAAAGTTGCCCTGAGACCGAAACATTTGAGTACTACACAGATCTTAGGTCAATGCAGATTCTCTAAACTGAGAAACAGCTGAGGTCAGAAGAAAGTTGTCAGCAGCAAGGAAACGTGAACTAGAGGAAACACTCAGAGAACTGTGTGTATGTGTAGTTCACCGAGGAGAAAAGGCCAAGAGCTATGAAAAGAAACAGCTCTTTGTTTTCTTTTAATAAGATTTTATTTATTTATTTGTCAGAGAGAGAGAGAGCGCACGCACAAGCAGGGGAAGGGGCAGGCAGAGGGAGAAGCAAGCTCTCTGCTGAGCAAGGAGCCTGATGTGGGGCTTGATCCCAGGACGCTGGGATC